TTTTTTCCCCTATTTTTTTTTTCCTATTTTTTTCCTCTTCTTTTTTTTGCGGGTGTCACAGGTTCCTCCTTCGGGCCCAGCGGCCGCAGAGGCCGCCAGACCTACACCCGCTACCAGACGCTGGAGCTGGAGAAGGAATTTCACTTCAACCGCTACCTGACCCGGCGCCGGCGGATCGAGATCGCCCATTCCCTCTGCCTGACGGAGCGGCAGATCAAAATCTGGTTCCAGAACCGCAGGATGAAGTGGAAAAAAGAGAACAAATTGCTCAACTCCTCGCAACTGAGCGCGGAGGAGGAGGAGGAGAAAACGGCGGAGTGAAAGTATTATTTAAAACACACACAAAAAAAAAAAAAAAATAGAGGGAGTGAGTGAGTGTGTGTGAGAGCCGAGAGGATGAGGGGGGTGTGGGCTGGCTGCGAGGACAGGGAAAACCTGCACATTGGTGGGACAAGCCCTCTGCAGCAGCGGCAACAGCTAGAAAGTTTGGGCCACCAATGCCATGGACTCGTGTTCCCAGTGATCTGTCGTGTCCAGGAAAAAAAAAAAAAAAAAAAATCAGGCTTCTAGTTGCGTTTTTTAATTTTTTTTTTTCCCCCCTCCCTTCCTAGACCTCCCTCCCCTCCCACTCCACCCCCCGAAATGAAATAATAATAATGAAAAAGTGAAGAGAGAGAGAGAGAGAGAAGGAGGGAAAGAAAGGGAAAGAGAAAAGACAAAAAAAAAAAGACTCCTACCCGTGTTTCTACCCTTGGTGTCACTGTTAGTAATCTGCTAACTCTTGTATTTAATGGAAGTGCTGCAATATATGTCATTTGGGGTGTTTATTGTCTTAATTTTGTAAAAATGTTTCATGCACGGTTGACATAGGTTTTTTTTTTTCATTTTTCTTTTTTTTTTTTTTTTTTTCCTCCTTTGGTAAATTAATCAAGCCCTGGGGTCTTTGTAATTAGTTTTTTGGGTTTTGTTTTTGGTTTTTTTTTTGTTTTTTGTTTTTTTGTTTTTTTTAAGGAAAATCTACTGAAAGAACGAGTACTACCTAAAAGGAATGCAAAAGCAACAACGACGACAACAAAAAGTTATATTTTATTAATTTTTGTACGTGTTGTGTTTGAAGTTTGTCTTAGGTATGAACATGGAATTCTCTAATAAAAACAAAGTCTTCGATCTCACGCACACCACCCTGTCATTATTATTACCATCTCTCCCTTTTCCAGGGGAACTTGCCATTCTTAAGGAGCAGAGAGTTGTAAAGAAAGCCTTGCTTCTCTCTGTATGACACTGTCTTCTAATCTGCAAGGACAAGCAACTCCAAGCACACGGAAGTTACAGTGGAGAGATAAATCTGGTTTTCCCTCTTTTTGTCTAATCTTAAATGGAAGACCTTTCACCAACAGTATTTCCTCGCTGACATGCTGCTTTAGTATCGCTCTTTTTTATTGTTACAGTACAAAGAGTTATGACGAAACGCTCTCCATATACATAATAAATCAAGGAAACAGGCAAAAATATGCTCTCATTTATCTACCAAAGATACCTAACATTTGCCTAGCATCTTTCAAACATCTGGTCCTTTACTTCATATCCCCAAATCAAAGTGAAGCGTATTGCAAAAAAGTCCAGATTTCAAGGGAATTCGCCCTGCGAAACGAGTAGCTTCTCAGCTCCAGGAATATAGCCTCCATTTCAGGGGGAAAAAAGGTGGAAACAAATCTCAGCTAGGTCTAATGAGCTCTTCTAAAAGAGTAGATTTTTATTTTCACTTGAAAGCGCTTTCAATGGCTCCTTCTGAGGGGCTGACTTTGCTCGGGACGGGATGGGGAACGTTTCTGCTCCGTACCCAAGAGGAATCTCGCGCATGCAAAGAGCAAACTTCTCCCGGGTTGGGGAATTAAACGAAAGGAAGTGCTTTTTCTGCCGGGGATGTAGGACTGGAAGCAAGCGACCAGCCCAGCCTATTTCGGATGCCGTTTGCTGCTGCTTCACAGGGGGAAAACGCGGTGTAACAGTATCTCCCGCCTCCCATCCCCTTTCCCCACTGCCCACGAGAAATACCTATGTATGAACGCATTCCCCCGTGCCACAAGCTGGTTTAATGTCAGTCACTTTTAAAATCAATTCATGCAGAAGCTTCACAGCTGTAGGACATTTACTATTATTGCCACGCTTTTCATTGCCCGTAATTATTATAATTATATGTCACTTTCAATATGGCGCATAATTTCCAATGAGTTGCAGACAAGCATATGAAATTCCTAAACTGCCTTGGAGGAAAAAAAAAGAGGAGAGAGAGAGAGAGAAAAGAGAAGAAGAAGAAGAAGAAGGAAAAAAAAAAGGAAGTCATGCTTAACAAAGCACAGCTCTTTCACAACGTTTTTACCAATTTCAGAGTGCTTTTGCTCCCCAATATTCCTTGCAGGTTAGCAAATGGAAAGGAAGAACAACGTAGCACAACGCTGTGTTCAAAGAGGACGTGAAACGCTCAGGAGCAAGAATATCCCAAAAGCAACGTTGTCAACCAGTTCCACCGGCTGGACTTTCCCTCCTTTTCCTTTATTTTCACCCCCCCCCCC